GGAAAAAGTTAGTGTTGCACAAAGGAGAACAAGGAGAGCTGCATCTGCTGCAGCAGCCACAACTTCTCCATCACCCAGAACTACAAGGGGTCGTAGAATGAGTGTGTAGCCCCCCAAGCGTAAGAAGAAAGCTGCAAAGGAGCCCAAGGCACCTGTGCAGAAATCAAAGTGTGAAGAGAAGGAGACTTTAACCTGTGAGAAGTGCCCCAGGGTGTTTAACACACGCTGGTACCTGGAGAAGCACATGAACGTCACTCACAGGCGCATGCAGATCTGCGACAAATGTGGGAAGAAATTTGTTCTAGAAAGTGAGCTGTCCCTTCACCAGCAAACAGACTGTGAAAAAAATATCCAGGTAGGTTTGCTCACCTGCTTGCCAGATTTCCATACCTTCTGTCGTGCCCTGGATACAGCTAGCGGACACTTCAGAGGGGGAAATCTTTTGCGCAGACCAGGTTCTGACCGAGACCTTGTCTCTACGTATCAACGCTTTGGTGTCTTCCAAAAGAAGTAAATTGCAGGGAACAGAGTGTACAACTGACATCTGCTTTAGCAGAGTTGCTCTAGTATTTAACTACGAGTTGGGGAAAACACAAAGCTACTTTAACAAATATCAGACTCAAGAGTAACTGGCCTGAAAACAAGTGCATTTGCAGTGAAGTACTTTGACAGGATAAACCCTCCTTCGTCAGGTGCTGAGCGCCTGCAGCTGTCGCTAGCTTTAAGGTTCAAAGTGTTTCACTGTCCTGAAACTCAGTCACAGAGTATGTCCAGGTAAGGTTTCGGGGAGAACGGAATTATGGCACTTTGCTGGTATTAGAATCAGATGTAAAATACCGGAGAGGCAAGCAGGTGAGAAAGAAACTAGTGAAGTCAGGATTTGAAGTTGTGTTAAAATGTAACTTTTTAAAATCCTACTGAGATAATTGTGTACAAGTAATGGACAGTAGTGTTCATGTATGCATATGGGAGCAGATTAATTCAGCAAGTAGATCTGTTCATGAGCATGTTCTTTTCCCAGTGCAAAAAGCTCAGTAAATCTCACTGATAATATAAAGATCTCTGGTCTTTCTCACCAGAAGATTTCCAGCTTTTAATTTTATACAACAATGGAAGCCTGTGTTGTAATAGAACCATTTTAAAGTTGAAGTTGTGGAAAGAGTTTCAGAGTTTCTGATTCATCTGTGGTTTGTACTTTGCTCATAGGCATCTATGTTCTCATGTAACTGGGGGCACTGTTGTTTTATCTGTCAACTTGAACGTGCTTTTCTGCCTTATTAAACTAGGCACAGTGTTGCCACCTACTTCTGAAATAATCCCACTGCCAGCATGAAGTATCTTGAGTTCAGTTTCTGCGGAGCTGAAATGTTGAGAGTTTGCAGGGCGACAAGTTTTTTGTCTGTCCAGTGAGTTTTACCAGAAAGATTTAAGACTTTTTTGTTTGTTTGTTTGCTTAAATGCTAAACTGAATTGGTATTCAATTCCCACTGTGTGGGAGACAGTTGAAATATTTATTGCAATTTCTCTTTGCTGTAAAACTCAAATGCAGCTCTATATAACGCTATGCTATTTTTCCTTATGTTTCAGCTCATAGGAGGAAGACTGAAGGAAGGAGTATAATATAAGATAATGAGCCTTGAGCATAGTTAGTAAAATGCATAAACGTTTCAGTATGTCCTTGCAGTTTTTGAAATAAATACTCCAGAAAATTTAGTGTAGCAGAGGACATTTAAATGTAAATTTAAGGAATGCCCTGTCATCCAGGTGGCTTATTCACAGCATAAAATGTTTTGACTTTAAACAGGAATTCATTAATAGTTTGTGTGTGGTGTAGAATGGAGAAGCACCTTGGAATCCATACACCCATATGCTTCCCAGAGGTTACATTCCTTTGTCCAAAAGTGATAGGAAGAGAAGAAATTGTAGAAATTTTATATCCAGTGAGAGAAGAATGATGTCCCAAATATTTCTAGTGCCAGAAGCACTGCTAGGCATCTTCCACTTCTCAGTATAAGTATATATTCAGCAATTATTTTTGTCTGTCCTGACATTTGGAATGTGTTTCGCAGCTGCCTGCTAATTTGTTTTTATTACCCTTGGCAAAAGGAGTAAGGGGATATGAAAGTTTTACATTAATGTAGGGTTTAGGATGTCAAGAGGGATATGGAGCTTTGTCTAGGAAAAAAAATGGTTTCATTATGCAAGTGGCAATAAGTGGTAATTGAACTAATAAACAAGGCTGGCTCCTCTCTATATTTTTCAACTAAGTGATGGAATATATCTGGTTTTCCAGGTAATGTCTGGTTTTCATCCTTTCAAAGTTAGCACTTTCACAGAACTTCTGTTGTCATCCTAGAGTTTCTGTGTAGTAGCTCTCAGTGATCTAAATTACTGCTGATTGTCAATTAAATTGTAGACTGCTTCAAGGGCTTGCTTAACCTTAAAGGATTTTTGATAGTTTCTTAGATTGCTTTATTCTTTAAGGTGTCCCCCCCAAAGACTACAGTTTGTTCCTGACATGCCTCCAAGTAGATACATCTGGAGGCAGAGGCTCTCCTCGGAGTCAGCATGGTGAGCGGCGTACCAGAGTTTCCAGGCCTGTAGAGATGTGAGCACTGTGGAAGCAACATAACTTGTCTATGCAGAGAAGAAACAGCTCAAGTTGACAGAAGGCATAGTATTTGCTAGTTCTGCAGGGAACAGCATGCAGCCCTTCTTACTTTGAGGCAAGGAGGTTAAATGATGGGCAGAAAAGCGGAGATGTGCCAAAAACTCCAAACACCCCAACAACTAACAAAAAATAACAAGCCACAATTCCTTCCTCTTCACTTCAAAGATGAAAATTATTTGATATCCTCACATATGTGTCTGCTATCAAGTTTCACAACTAAGATTATTTTGGAATTTTCAAAATTGTACAAAGATTTTTTTTTTTTATCAAGTCTTTAACAAGAACTAACTCTATTGGGGAAAAAGAGATGTATGAAAGCCTTTGGATCCTGCTCACCACTGACACTCTGGACATTTCACAGTAGTTGTGGGAAGAGATTAAAACATTGTTTGCATGTGGTCATTTTAGACCTAAAATGCTACTGATTCGTGTAAATGAAGAGTGAGAACACGAAAGATGGAGGTGGCAATTTGCTTTGCTATATGAACTGTGTACCAGACTCTCCGCGTGGTCAAGAGCTGCAAGATTGAAGCTGTCTTCTGTGTAGAGCTAAAAATATGAGAGAGCTTTGACTGGTTCACAGGCTGTTAGACCTGGAGTTTGAGAGGTCCTGTGAAGGACAGGGCTGGACGTGCAGATGGCCTTAAGGCAACTTGGTGGTGGTGGCCTCCTCCACCTCTGTTGGCTTCTTCCCACAGCAGCAGCATCAGTGCCCGTGAAGTTGTCTTCTCTGTGTTAGCTGGATGCAGCTCAAGGAGCTATCTATGCTGTTGTGTTTTGGAAAGAAGTTACTGCGGTGGCTGTGGTGCTCTTCAGGTGGCACCAAAATGCAGTGTGTTAACATCCTCTCTAGTCCTGCTTGATCTGGCTTTTCTTAGTGTAATTGTTTCAAGCGTGAAACAGTAAATGTAAGCTGAGGTAAAGTCTGAGACAGTATACAGCATTTTGACTTGTTTTGGGCTGCTTTTTGTTATGCAAGAGGAAGATACGTGGCTTAGCTCCACAACGAATCCCTGAATCTGTCTAATTTAAAATACCTTTTATTTATCCCATTCATTCAGTGCGTTTCCTGTAATAAATCATTCAAGAAGCTCTGGTCCCTTCATGAACATATCAAGATTGTCCATGGATATGCAGAAAAGAAATTCTCTTGTGAGATTTGCGAAAAAAAGTTTTACACCATGGCCCACGTGCGGAAGCATATGGTTGGTGAGTTATTGATCAGCGCTTCTGTTGGTTCTGCCTCATAATGTGGCTTTATGGTTCTTCACTCGTAACTGCTGTTTTGAGGAGAAGAATAGTAAGGCAAAGTCAGTTGTCTGAGCTTTATCCTGAGCAAAATGTTCAAGACTGGGCAGCAAGCAAAATATGTATGTGTGTACATATGTGTGTATACTTCTAAGCTGTTCAGCTGTAATCATTGGAGGAAAAAATCGGTTAAGGAACTGTTTGTATTAGAATGACCCTCTCTAACGTACTGTTGTGTTGCAGCACATACAAAGGACATGCCATTTACATGTGAAACCTGTGGAAAATCATTCAAACGCAGTATGTCTCTCAAAGTACATTCCCTACAGCATTCTGGAGAGAAGCCTTTCAGATGTGAGGTGAGGCAACTGTTAATATGTTTAGATACCATAGCATCGGGTATGAAATTAGTAACACTGTCAATAGGGAATGTAGGTGGAAACTGAAATGACTGACTGGTAAATGAGGTGCAGTTTCATAAAATTTGGGGAAAATTCTTCTTCTTGTGGAGAGCCCAGCAGGAGTGCAACTAGCAGCAGTTCAAACTGAGATGTATTTGGTTTGCTGTCACTGCTGGCTGTCACGTTCTTCTCAATGAATACGCATTACAGCAGGATTTGAATCCTAGTTTTGCCCCAGTGTTCATGGCAAAGCTTAATGCAAATTATGTCCATCCTCCCTGTCTTGCCCGGTAACTTGAAACACATACAAGTGGCGACAGTGGAAATAAACAAATTACTGGTTGATTTTCACGTGTGGGAACAACTGTTGTCCTCGCTGCAAACTATGACCTCCTCGAGATTGAAGGCAGTGCTCTGAATTTGCATTTCTTAAACCGAGTGTGTGTGTGTGTGAGAGTATCGCACTGATGCATTCCTTTGGGTTTGTGATTGTGATTTTAAGCGTGCCGTACGGGACAGACTTACCCGGTCATATGTCTGGGGCAGATAATGCCGCGGTCATCTGATGGGGATGCTTGTGGGTATCACATGGTGGGTGCAGGGCCCTTCCTGTTCCCAGGGCAGGTCTGGTGGCTCACCCTGTCCACACAGTGTGGGGCACAGCTCTGGCCAGACGAGTACTGGTAATGGCGGAAAAAAAAAAACAGACTGGCTTGCTGAAAAACAAGCCTGCCATAGGGCTGCTGTTGGTTTTGCTGTGTGAGCAGAGTCCTCTAGTGGAGGCATGCCGTAGTCCAGCAGAGAGCGCTGGCAAAGCTGCAAAGCCTCCAAATGATACCTTAAGCCAACAGAAGCACTTTTCTGTTGGCAGAACCGTGTTTCTGCCAGGCTTTTGCCAACAGCTGTGTCAACTAAAGGTTGTGACTGTTCCACGCTCCTTGCCAAGGCTCTTGTGCCAGCAGATCTTTTAGACCAAATTCTACTTGCGAAACAATTTAAATTCTGCATTTGTGTGAGGGTCTCTGTGTGTACTAGTTCAGGTATTTTTTACTTCCTCACATAGTACATTTGAGTGCTGTCCCATGACTGCCTTGCTTCCTGATGTGTGATGCCTGAATATCACAAGCTGCTGTTTTTCTGTTGCAGAACTGTGATGAGAGGTTTCAGTACAAGTACCAGCTGCGTTCCCACATGAGCATCCACATTGGGCACAAACAGTTCATGTGCCAGTGGTGTGGCAAAGACTTCAACATGAAACAGTACTTTGATGAGCACATGAAAACACACACTGGTAAGAACTTACCAAAGAAAAGCACAAGTACCTCCAGGACAAAAACCTTCCTATACTTCCAGCTGTATTCCCTTCCTTGGAATTTGGGATCAAAACTGTTATCCTGCCTAGAAATTCAGATAGGAAAGGTTAATACATTAGCTTACTGTTAAATCTGACTGTCTGTAGTCCTGTGATTCACTGTGGGGGAAAAGGAGATGTTAGGCTTGCTTCCTTGTTATTTTGGTCTGAAGGAACCCCTTGCCAAAGCCTTGGAAATGATTGCCTCGTCCACCAAAATCCAAAGGTGAGAGAGGATTTCATAATGACCCAGGACTTCTGCGAAACAGCTGTCTCTTTATTTGCTGAAGGTAGCAGTCGCAGTAGCTTTTGTAGGATGCAGTTTGTTTGCGTGAGTATGCTAAAGTATTAGCAGATACTGTGCCTCGCTGATTGCCGTATCTGTGTTTGGCAGGAGAGAAGCCCTTTATCTGTGAAATCTGTGGGAAGAGCTTCACCAGCCGCCCAAACATGAAGAGACATCGCAGAACTCACACAGGGGAGAAGCCCTACCCATGTGATGTGTGTGGCCAGCGATTTCGCTTCTCCAACATGCTCAAGGCACACAAGGAGAAGTGCTTCCGTGTTACCAGCCCCGTCAATGTGTCAACTGCTGTCCAGATCCCGCTGTCCACGACTTCTCCTGCCACCACAGTCCCTGCTGTAGTGAACGCACCCACTGCCCCAACTCCACCGATCAACCTGAACCCAATGAACACACTTCCTCCACGCCCCTTTCCCCACCCATATTCACACCTTCACCTACATCCTCATCCTCACCATCCACATCATCTCCCGGTCCCCCCGGTTCCTCATTTACCCCCTCCTCCAGCTCTTTTTAAGAGTGAGCCTTTAAATCACAGAGGCCAGAGTGAGGACAACTTTATGCGACACCTGGCAGAAAAAAACAGTTCAGCACAGCACCACTAACATCTTTGCTTCCTACCAGCTGTTTTCCTATTTTATGCACATGGAAACATGCCCTCATGGAAGTACAGAGGGTTAGTTGGTGAAGATCTTTGTCTTTCTCTTAGCCCCAGCAGGTGGTCCTAATTTTGCCCTTGAATCAGTTAACAAACAAGGAAATCCTGTTTCGGATCAGCAGTGCTCATTTGAAGCTGGGAACCAACAGGACTTAAACCCAATTTGCTTGCGTTTTACTGATGACTTTTATAAATTTCAGATACTGAGACTTGTGGAATTTTATAATTTCGTATCAGCTGATGAGGTATGCTTGCTTTTATATCCTGGACTTCTCCTCAAAGAGGAGATAGGCCTGGTTTTCTTTGTACTAATCGGAAAGGCTGTGAGATTAATACAGAGCATTAATTGTATCACTGTGTATTGTAATGGATTCTTTGCAGCTTTTGGAGCCGGCTATGGAGTGAGCCAGCCACGTATCACAGTATATTTGAGCATTATAAAGAAAGACAAAAAAATTTCTTGTTTGTGTAGCTCTCCTAACACACTCTTTATTTTACTACAGAAATTATTTTAGAGTTTTTTTGTATAGACCTATTTAGTAGTCTGTTTCTAAAATGAAATGTATTTCAATAAGCGGTGTAATTTTTTCAGTGTAGCTGGACCTATGTTGTATAATAGATAAATTTTTATAATCATCAAAATGTGATTCTTAAAAGATGCATATAGCTTCTATAGTTAAAGTTATTCTTACAACCATACAACTTAAAAGGTGCTTCAGAGAAGAAAGGAACCCAAGAGGTCTCTGGAAAGGTTGCCTCAAAAGCAATGTTGATTTCAGAACTTTACGTAATTTATTTTAGTAGGGCTTTTTTTTTTTAACCTTATGTTTCCCTTTTCACAGTTTCTCTTAAGCTTTTTGGACAAGGACGGTGGGATACCGTATTCCTGCTCCACAGGTTTTCTTTAGTTCAGTTGGAGTGAGGTATGAGATGGGTTAGAAAGGGAGCCCCTTACACGTAGGGACCCGCGAGTTTGGGAGCAGAGAGTCACAAGAGCATGAGAGATCTGACAGCAGAGAGGAAATCAAGTATCTTGAGTCAGCCAAGCATCTTTTCTCTTTATGTAGGAGAAACGGTTTTAATGGCTTTTCATGGTATGATTTTAAGTTGGGGATCGTATCAAATGCTGCTCTTCAGATTGCTTTTTGGAATTCATGGAGTTGTTAGGAGAGGGGAATGAAGTGAGATCATCGGTGGTGTTTCTGACTGGTTGATTGCAAGAGTGAGAAGAGAAGTTTGAATGAGACAAAGGTGTTTCAGTTGCATTGTTAAGAAAATGCTGATAGCACTGTATGTACCATGTGAAGCTCTGTCCCATAAATGTAATGTGCATAAAATTATGGGATGATTTCTAGGGGTCGTAGTCATACTTTTGGCAAACCTAAGTTTTACAGTTGTAGGATAGGAGACTTTGAATTGTAGGCATGTCACTGTTTCATAATCCTGCGAGGCAATGAGGGGGAAATGACAAGTTAGTGCAGGGATGGTGGGCTGGAATGCCAAATGTATCTGTTTTAACCAGTGAGTAGCTGTTATTTTTTCAGGTTTGTATTTCTGTTCAACTAAAACTAAATATAGCAGCATTATGCAATCTAGGAACTTGTTGCCACCTTCAATGAAGACAGATGTCCAAGGCAATGTACTGTAAGTCCTCTTTTCCTTAAAATTCCTACTCTTCTGTGCTGCTTTTTAAGTTAAATCCCACCAGACTATACCTCCAGAGATCCTCATAGGCAGATAGCAAACTTGCCATTCTGTTTGGTAATGAACTGGGGTTTTGTGGCTAATGGGATTAACTTTTTTTCGAGATGGCAGAAATCATGGAAATTCTTCCTAGCATTACTTCCTCAAGGTTGATGCTGTCAAGCACTGTGTTTTGAAACACCATGTCCTCTGTCTGTTGAGAATTAGCTCCTTAGTTGATGTTTTTCGCCATGTTTTACCACCTAATCATTAATGTTGTTTTTTTTCATAACAAGCATAGGAAACTTTAGAAACCAGAAAGGGCAGTTTTGGCCCAACAAACCTACTCATTTTTAACTGAGCTGAAACCCCTTCCAGCATTTCTGAAAAATTAAACAATGTTTTTTTAAATGTTTTTCTCTATAATATTTATATACACCCTCTTACCTTCTAGAAGAAAAAAACAATTATGAAAGTGAATTTACACTCATGATTATGACTGTTGTATTTACTGTGGCTGGTCCGCCCCGGAGGTTCTATGCATTCCACGTCACATTTGCAACCTACATTTCTGTTGTGCCACTATTTTATGGTCAGGCCTGTTATTAAATGATTTTTAAATGCTAAAAAATTATTGGTAAATCAATTGTATTCCAGTTTTGCAAAATGATTTTCTTCTCAATAAATTTACAGTATTAGGCTGCTATTCAGAATTCTAAAATCTGGGACAGTTTTTTTCTATTATTTAGTTCGTAGCAATGATACATCTTGTATTTTTTCCTTCCAAGACTTGTGAACTTCCTTTCTGTGGAAGAATATTAAACTATCTAACCCGCTTAACAGTCTGTCATAATGTGACATGATGTCAACAGATTCTCCTCATTATTTGCGACAAACATCTCTAAAGCTGACATACTGGTCTAAAAGTGTTGCAGTGTGATATCTTACAAAGTATTTCAGCAAGGAAAGGAAAATGGATGGTACAAAAGGCAGGAAATTCAAGGTTGAGATTTGCTGTAGCTTCTCACTTCTGCTTAAATTTGCATTGGCGTGCACACCTACAGAGTTTGCGCAACACAAAGGGATGTATTCATGGGTGTTTACTGCTTTCTGCTTATGTTGACAAACTAAGCGTAATGTTTTGTATCAACTTTACTGTATTTAGTAAGTAAGGGGTTGGTTTGTGTTGCTGAAGTGTCTCCTTCAAGAACAGCAAAGACCAGTTCTACCAACTTTGGGTTTGGTTTGAATGTTTCTGGAAAGTCGGACTAAATTCTCCTTTCTCCCCTCCTCCCATCCTACAGCCTAAGGCAAAGTTTTACTGAATTTGTAAGGGGGGAAATCCAGCAGAATTAACACACAGTTGGGAGGTCGGCATTCTAAGGCGAGCAGTTTAAAGGACAGCATCTTTTCTGGAGAAGTTTAAACTGCCAGTCCACCGGACAGTGCCTTATCCTTACGAAAGGCATGAGCTGTGTGAGCTTGTTTGTTCAGTGTATTATCTCAGACTCACTTATCTTTCTGGATAAAGGGGTGGTGATTAATCTTTCTGGATAAAGGGGTGGTGATTATTTGTTCTGTATTGTCATGCCTGCCTGAATTATTGACTCCTCTATTTACACAGCTCAGATACTTCTTAGACGGCCTAATTCGTATTGCTGCACACATCGAAAGTTAGTGTTACCCACCTTGTATTCCCAACCAAATCTTAAATTTTGGACTTTTGAAAGAGTGGTTTAAGCTGAATTTAGGCTTTTAGCACTGGGAAATCAGTTCATATCTCAACAGTACGGTCCGTCTGGATGTTTTTGTCTTTGCCCTGTTGTGTCTCTTGAGCATGGAATAGCTGTTTTCAGTTTATTGAAGAGAGGAGGAGGTAGAGCTCAGGGCATATAAAAAATAGTGCTTCCCTTTGACAGTTTTCGTCTGGTTTAGCCAAGTAAATGACAGACCAAGTTTACCTCTGAGCTGAAAAGATTAGTATTTTTGTAATATATTTAATTTGTTGGTTATTTCTTTGCGTTATAATGACCAATGGTGTGACTGTCAGTGGGGTCAGCTACCATTTTTTTAGGAGTTTGAGCGATCCACTGTTGTAAAGGGCTGTTTCTGTTTGTGCAAAGATAGTGTTGTCGACACTTTTTGGTTTGATTACTACTTGCAGAGTATATAGGTAATGTGCCTTTGAGACTATGATAAAACAATATGCAAATTGGAGTGAGGCACTCACAAACACTAATAACATCAGACTTTTTCACTAGTGGGACTTGAGCTCAGGGTCATAAAATGGTTAAATGGTTATTTTATGGTTTCATATTTCTATTGACTATTTAAAAAAACAAACATAATCTATAGCTCAACAAGACTTTTTTTTAACCACTGGTAAGGTACATTTCACTTGTAAATAGAAGATGGATCAAGTTTCTGGTTTTAGTGTTGGTTTTGGTCTTTAAGCCTGGGAGACATGGCTACCTGAGAGATGATGGAGGTGAATTAAATAAATGCTTTCCCATTTGCATGACAAAATGAACTGACAGTTTTTCCAGCCTGTTATGTACTACACTACGATTAATATATGAGTGATTCTTAATGGCAAACGTGACTTTATTCTTATATCTTACCTGCTTCTGAACTTTGAGCTCTACTGTTTTTCAGGAGTGACTATAAAAGTTCTTCAGATCTCTGTCCTTACAGTCTGATTATGTTATTTTTTTAATGGGCATTATTATTATTATTATTATTATTATTATTATTATTATTATTATTATTATTATATGGGGGCATAGTATGCACTGTTGAGCAGAAAACTCATGTAGATTCAGGCGTGGACGCGATCTTCTGCATCCTGGTTAGAAAAGCATAGAGTGGAGGGATGTGTGCTTGTTAGAACCAATAGCCACGTGTCTTTGAAGGATATTATTTTTATATTAAAGACAGTGAGTCTGACACTATGTGTTCTCCTGAATAATTATAGATAACTTCATCATGCACTGCTTTTAACAATTTGGAATTGTACATTTGACTTTTCAGAAATCAACATCATTATAAACTCTGCAGTTCGGAACTGATAAGCACCATACCTCTCTAGACTGTATCATAAATCTTCAAGTACTTGAAAAGTAGAAGAAAGGTACATTGAAAATGAATGACTATAAAATGTTTTCACTCTTTTACAGTTTACATTTGAAAGCAGAAATGTCACTCTGCAAGTTTTGACATGGGCATTAAGCTTTAAACAGCCTATGATAGCACATCATTTGCCAGCTTCCATCAAATGAATTTGCCTTGTACCAGAACGATTATTTTACTCGTATCTTGAAAACATGTCTGTGCAGTATCACTATTTGATTTCTTTTGTAGAATGCTCTTAACCTATCAATTCATAGCGAGTGTTCTCTTCAAAGGGTGCAGGTGGGGAAGAATGAATGAAACTTGGTGGTTTTGTGTGGAAGTTTAAGGGTGTTCAAAACTGGAATTAAATTCAAATTAGTAACTTTTACTCTTTTAGCAGAGAGAAGGCAGTTTTTGAAGTAATCTGGCACTAGTAAGTAGTATTGTCTTACTGGCCTTGGGAGGTATAAATTAATTAATTCTTATATTTTGATTTTAGCACATTGATTATGCTAAAAATAAATAATATTTTATAAATATATTGGAGACATGGCAGAAGAATTAAAATCCTCCCTTAAGGAGAGAGAAGTTAAAAAGAAAGGTACATATTTGCATTTCCTATAGGCACTAGGAAGAAAGCCTACCTTCGGATTCACAGATGTCCTTAATAAAGATTTTTACCCTGGCAGCAACGAAATAATTTTTGTTGTTTAATTAACAAATAAACAGTTTTTAAGCTTCTAATATGATTATGAATAAGAAATGAGAATTACATTAATTTCATTACTGATTTTTGACCCACCAAGAAAATTTCTGCCTGAGCTGACCTGTTTGAATTTATGCTGGAGCCTAAGTAAAAGTTTATTGTGGATCGCAGGGGGCACCCTCTGCTCTCAGAAATAATCAGTGCTTTTTTGGGACGATGCCACATTCTTCTGTCTCGTTAGCTGTGCCTTTTCAAATGAGGATAAAGATTTGAGAGGGGTTTAGGGGTTTGTGTTTTGT